AGGTAATTTATAACCTTACGCGCTAGTAGCCTCGTAACACGCACCGCACAAGAGGAACTAATGCGTACAGGGATGCGTGCAGCCCGGCACCCCCTATTTCAGGCTTTGTATCTATAATATACAGAGCCCTGCTCACGTGTGATAGGTCTGGTGGGTTTCCCCGCAGATAAGGTCCGCCACCTTGGACGGCACATCGGCGTCAGAGATAAAACCATCAACAATCCTGCTTCTACATCATAGACAAAGGAATGAAATCGTAAATCATGAGCGCCACTGCCATCATAGCCGGCAATGCGGCGCAGAGCCAGAACCCGGCCCGCAACAAGCTCGAATTGAGGCGGAAGACCTTGGCATCCACGAAGAAGAGATCTCGTGGCGGCTGTCTGACTTGCAAGCAAAAACATGTATGCCAGACCAGAGCAGACTGTAGACATGCTGCTAACATATCGCAAGGCCAAGTGCGATGAGGCGAGACCAAGCTGCCGAAATTGTAGCCGAAAAGGCCTCACCTGCGGCGGTTACTCGCGAGGGTTCACCTGGTCTTACAAGCATCAATCGGGACCTCGCACGGCAGAGGCCAAGCAGGTGAATAGACGATCATCACAATCAACGGAAAATGAAAAGGACTACGCACCAAGCCCGGCGTCATCCAAGGGTGACGCGCCCCTGGTGGACAGCAATTTCGCATCGTCCCTGCTACCCTTCGACGATGCCTTCTACGCCTCCGATGACTGCCAGCCAATATTATCCCAATACTGGCCGCCCGCAAGCGTCTTTGCGAACGAAGATGCCCTGGCCTGCCTCGATCGATCTATGGGACTACCACCTAACCCTTGGCCACTTGACTCATCCGCGTCGGAGCAGGTGTCGTTTCCTCGCGGCTTCCGCGTAAGCCAAGATATTCCTCTACCCACGCCCCTCAGAGGTGGACCTGAAACAGTAGATAGGCTTATAACCAACTGGTTTGAGCAAGTCTGTCCCATATGGTCAGCATTTGACTCTTGCTTCAACCAAAACAGGAAAATAGCATCCGAGCTGATGCATCACTCCGCCGCCGTCTTCAACACTCTCCAGAGCATGTCAGCGAGCTATCTTTCAGCAAGGCTGCCTCAAATGAAGCGGCCGGCACTTAGATTGCTGAAGACTGCCACCGCAACTATTCTTTCTGAAGCCGATTCACTACGGGGAAGGGATATTCCCAATACAGTCCCAACAGGACTCCTGTTTTCTCTCTTCTGTGTCGGAACATCCGTGTGTTGGCTGGATGCGAGCCGTCTTGGGCTACCTTTTCTCCAAGAAGCCAAATGTCTACTTCAACGCCTGTCTTGGCAGGATATCCCTCGTACCGATGACCAACTTGAGATACTGGCCTTTTTTAAGAAAAGCCTGCTATACTGGGAGATGCTTCTGTCCTTTGTAGATGATTACGATCCAGGCAGCGACTCGGGGAGCAGGGAACAAGAAAACCGGACATCACCTGCACGGAACACCAGAGACACGAGCACCGACGCATTTCCGCATCCTTGGACTGGCATTTCTTCACAGACATCTCGTCTATTTTCTCAGTCGATTCGACTCTGCCGCTCGTACCGCCGCAGGGTCTCGAAGCCGAGCGGGTCAGAGGTTGCCCTGTCTGCGGCCATGCAGGAGATACAGGAAGCGAAGAAACTCGAGGAGCACTTGCTTGGGTTGGAATTCTCCTCTGCCACCCCGGTAAATCACACGGGCGACGAGAGAACGCCATGGCTGCACCTTGCGTATGTTGCAGAAGCCTACCAGCTGGCGTCACTGCTTCAGCTGTACTTGACGTTTCCAGGCTTGGTGGCGTTGCGCCTGCCGTCGGATTCTGGTCTTGAAACGAGCGGCAGCGTTCCCTGCGATAAATGGACCATTCCATTGGCGCTTCGCCTCACCAAACTTCTGGAGCAAATCCCTCCTGAATCTGGCAGTCGTGTGATTCAGCCTCTACTGTACATTTGTGCCAGCACAGGACTCTGTTACAACATCTCGCCTTGCTCGCTAATTCCTGCATATCAGGCGGACACGGTTGTTAGCGAAAGCCGGCCTGTGACGTTGGGTAGCCTCGACATCCTGGGCTACGTTAATCAGATGGATACCAACGATGGTGACCAGTCAGATGCAGCCCCCGTGCCTGAAATAGCTGTTGAAATTGGAAATGCTCGCAACTTCATACTAAGGCGTCTGGATACATTAGCGTGCACTCTGCATCCGAGACCGATCGTGGTTGCAAAACAGCTCGTCGAGCAGATTTGGGCTGCGTACGATGACGAATCTCGGGGCTGTACATCCGGGCACTGGCTGGATGTGATGGAGGCGCAAGATTTACGTTCACTGTTCGGATGAACCGAATGTACAAGCGGTCGTTTTGTCAGAGCTCATCTTGGCGTTTTATTTTGGACGAGACCAGTACGGTAGTACTGTTACGAACACGTGTGCGCTATGGCATTTCAAATCGTACGATGCGATTTGCGGCGTTCACGAAGAATACATGTAACATTGAGCCGGGATGGAGAAGGCATCATTCATATATGTAGCTGCTAGGTGCTGCAGCACCGTGCTGCCGCACGAAACTTGAAATCATATTGTACGCCCTGCCTGTGCCACCATCCCCCCCTCTGTCCCAGGCGACATTGTAAAGACTTAAAAGTCATTCTTCTTTCGCTGGCCCACGTAGAATGCTAAGCCGTAGTCTGAAGTCTCAAAGGTAATGGTAGCTCCCTTGGGGAAGAATACCACATCACCTGGCTTCGCCTTTGTCGTTTGTCCAGTCGCATCGGTGATTGTGAAGTCGCCTTCCACAAATATCTTCATCTCGTCATACTTGTAGGTGTATGTGAGAGGCTCGCCCTTTTTTAAACGGAAGAATCCTGATGAGACGGGCGTGTCGGACGTTTTTTCGCTGGAGAAGACGTCGCCGAGGAAGGCGTTGTCGCCGGCTAGCAGCGGAATCTGGAATTTGGATTGCGCCTCCTTGTAGAAGTGGAATGCTGGTGAGTTTCCGGCCATGGCTGATATTTTTGGAGTAGGAGGTTGAGAGAATGGGGATTAGTAAAGAGAAAGATAAAAACTGCTGCTTATGCTGCTTCTTATATCTTCCTGCCAGTAGGTAAATAGCTCTTCAAATAGTACTCGTACCCGGAGCAAAAGGTCCAAGTCGAGCCACTCTAGTCTGGCGACATCTCCCGACCCGCGCATGTTGCCTGCGACTCTGCGCCATCCGGTCGTCCGCCTGTTGCTACGTATCACTGGTCTGCTTTCCGGTCTCTCTGTGTCATCGGGTTCTGATGCCCATAAAATGGTTCGCCGAGTCGTAAAATTTCCTATTTGGGCAATGTGTCCCGCATGGCGGGGGCGCTCCTCGGGGATAACATCAGGTGTGACAATGCTCAGACCTTGGAATGCATTTTCTCCATGGCGGCCAAATGATTCATTCGTTCGGAATCTTCAGGGCGCGTCCGTTGGGTGTCGGGTGATAATTTGTACTCTAACCTAAGACGACTGGCGTGACCTCTTGATTTTAATTGAGGTGTCAGCCACCACAAAATCACGACTCCAAATCGCCAAATCTGCTAGCAGTATTTGTTCAAGATTAACAGATTCTTTCACCTCAAGATGACTTTACTTGTTCAAACGCTTCATCTCACTGAGTTTACAGGGGCAGCGGCCTGCTTAGTACTTGCAGTTATACTCGTTATCTTCAAGGGGTTCAATCGAAAGCCACCGTCACTGAGGCCGGAAAAGGACGAAGCTGGCAAAGCGGCCGACCAAAACAACTTCAAGTCACGGGACTTCAAGATGCCTACTCCTCCACCCTATCCGGAGTGGTCTATCGAATCCACCAAACCTTTACCGTACAGAGCTTTGAGATATGGGCCGAAATACAATGTCACAATGGGGCTTCGTACCATTCCACCGATTGAATGGGTCGAGCTTGACTGCCAATTTCCCAAGTATCACGCAGACAAGGCAGCTCGACTGCTTAAACGCGGTGAAAAATACGCCAAAACGCACCCTGATATATTTCCTGCCGCAGTAGAACTGCTATAAGAACTGGTAAACTATTTACCGGCTTGTTACCCAAGTATATACAAGCGAACCGTAACAGGCATAGATAACCTTTAGTCTGGCGAGACTTTTAATATTAAACAGCGCTCTTTACAAGAAGACCTAATAGCTATGTGCGCACGACTTGTGCAAGATGATCTCGCTATTATGATTAAACAGCCGGATAAGCAGTATTGCCTACTTGCTAATGCTATTTTGCTAGCTGGCTTCTGGAGGCTTTTAGATAAATTTAGTATAATATAATTAAATATCTATATATCAGGTAATATTTCTTACTTCTAGGAGAAGCTTAAAAGTAGTATAATTAAGTTTTTTTAGTAAATTAAATATAATACTTTTTATACACGTAATAATTACTTTATTTAAGTAGATAACTCGCTGTTATAAAGTTATAATATTAGTAATAAAAATTAGCTAGTTATAAGCTAAAGTATAGCTAAGAAGAATAAGGTTATTAAGAACTACTAGTTTTGCTTAAAAAGATAAACTCATTAAAGACTTTCTAAGACAGGAGCTATTATTTTTATAATTTACACTTATTTTCTTCCTATAGCATAAATTACATAAGAAAACTATATGCCGGGCCGACTAGCTAGTACGGTATATAGTTGGGATGACAAGGTTAGTAAGTATAAGGGCAGAGAGAAGTACGGAGATATTTTACTGGAGTATTTAGATCAGAAATATAAGGAACAGATTCAACGTGGCTTGGATCTACAGAAAGAGGAGAGGATTAGGAGTTATCCATGGTAATATAGCGAAAGGACTACTGCGATATGAAACCGGCTTCATACTTGTATGTACTATGCATCAATTGATATTTTACCCTTTTTGTACCGATGAATCTTCTCCTTGGTGACCGTTGTTCCGCCCACTACACTCGACTCTGCAACGGGGTGAGGTACACTCCCGCCCTCGGCTCTGGCCTGCCGGCTGGGACTCTCCCACAAGCGAAATTACTCACGAGTCGAGCTCAGGAGCTTAATAGCTCCTCAGGCTCTCGTTTTCTTGTTCTTTTTCCTCTCTCTTCTTTAGAGTTTAGATACTGGTAGTAGTCGCCTAGCTAGTCGTGAACATACTCAGCTTAGACCGTTACATACGCTACGTTGTTCGCTATGTCAGAGGCTGATACCAGAAGACAGACACTTCTTTCCCTCCGTGCCTTAGTAGCACTGTGAAACCATCGGTATAAATGCCTCATACTAGCTAGCTTGTCTGTCAATAATGCTCAGCTTACAATAACTCTCATAACGTGACACCATGGTATATATGTGCCTATGAATAACTTTGGAAAATGTAGTCACTCGATTTGCATCATACTGTTGACGATCATCTTCACAGCGCTACAACATTGGGAGACTCTGTCCACTAGGCTCCGCACAGCCAGTTTCACACAGGCAACCTTGGAATCAATAAACGACGCCCATCAGCGCAAAGCAAGTAAGAGATAAGGCCGCCCAGACTTACCCCGCGTTCTATATCCGTGGCGTTGCGGCCGCCTCAACGATTTCCATTTTTGGTCATGTTACCCGGACGAATTCTATCCGTCTAACACGGTGTGGCCCCTGACGCCACGTCTCCGAGCAACCTCCAGCTTAGTACTACCATCCAAAACCAGGGAAAATAAATACGATATGGATAGACTTGAAAACGAAGCTATATATATCGTATCAATGTGGCTTTGACTAGCAATATTGAGAAGCCCTTAAGCTGAATGCCATTGTAGAATGCGCCGTTTACAACATGGCTTATTTATTTTTTGGTATAGCCTTTTGTATCACCAGTTGCGCTCTCTTACTCCGCACCTTGATACTTCAACGGATGGCCGTCAGATGTGTCCTTCCTATCCCTTTATCTGGTAAAGCTCCGCCAAAAAAGGGCCCTGATATAGACTACTTCAAGATATTTCCACCTTCACAACGCCAGTTCCTCCCTGAAGCGACGTTGGCATCGTCCATTGCTGAAAAGGATCACTTGGATACCCGCGATTTGTCTATATCAGCAAAACCAATCCTAAGGTTGGATGCTGATTATCGCCTTGCTGACCCTTCAACTTATATATACAGCGGTTTCACAGTGGGCGACATTAAAGCGCTAGGTGACTTCCCTGACTATGCAAAGCTATCTGGGGTTCCTTTGCCTCTACCCCTGAAGGACTTCAATGTCGATAGTTCTCCGCCGAGACCTTATAGACCATTCAGATGGCCTTACCATCAAACAATGTGTATGTGGCCTGTACTCCATGGCGCGACTGTTTGACTAACAATCTTCTGCTACAGCCTTTAAAAAGCTAGAGCCTGATTATTGGCTCGAGCTAGAAGACACATATAGAGAGCGTATCCATCAACGCCAATCACTTTATAAGAAACATGGGAAAGAAGTCTTACAGGCTTTACCTGGATCAGAACTTACTTGCAAGGAGCTAATGGAAATGGTTTTGTAATTTATTTGCGCACGATACCCTCGACAATTTAAGCTCGTAAAGAACATTTTGGTAAATCACATTCTGAATACTAAACATGATCTGGTAGTAACTAGGCCTCTCTATATTCTCTTGGATAATATACCAGAAGACTTTGCAATAACATTGCGAGATCATAAGACTGGACGTTACCACCTTCGAGCCGGAGTTATTTGCTCAATAATTAGGTGGAATCTAGATCAAAAGATAGGATTACCCCTGTCAGACGTTCATCAGCCCGTGCCTGACTATAAGGAGAAAATAGAGTTTAGCATGGATTGGTAAGTCTCTATTCAAGAAAAGAATAAAAGATAAAACTAATATTAACGTTTTTATTAAGTTCTTCTCCAAGTTGCCAACATCTAGTCCTATACAAAGAGGGTTATAGGGACTCGAAATTGGGCAACCACTACATCTACCGTCAGGTCATCCTGACTTCAGCCATCGAGATTCCCAGAATCCATCTCTTCAGCCAGATAACTTATTTCTGCGAGTGGACTGGCAGACCTTGCGACGGCTGCCGCTCTCTGGCGCCGTGGTATTTAGCTTTAAGGCTCTATTTACGCCTATTTCAGAGTTTAAGAATGAACTATATATTCTATCTCTAGTCCTTAAGATCGTCAACGAAGGCCAAGCAAGCTTAATATTATATAAGGGCACCTGGCATGTTGAGCATATTGTTAAACCCCTACTTAAGAGGTATAAGCGTGCATAGGTAGAGAAAGGGTTAATTAAGAGAGGATAGAATGTTTGGACGCTTAATAAAAGTCCTTTTTTCCCCAGATAGGAGAAGAAGTACGGGCACAGAGCATGGGCTGCGTGAGAAATCTTGTTACCTCTAGTTGGATCCGTAGTATATATAGGTGATATACTCTTTATACCTGCTAGTTTTACCGCTTTTATTACTCTAAGCCCGCACTATTAATTCTTGTATAAAAAAGGCAATTGATACCCGGGCATGACTCTTATCCGGACACAGAGCTACTTTTTATTAATTAGCTTTATGGTATTTAAGCTAGTAAGTTTAACGCATCGCGATGCGTGTACACAGTATTCTTTGAATTGCTTGTTACTATTAAATAAGCCAGGTACAACTCCTAATTGTGCTACTAGTAAGTCCTGGTAATTAGCTAGCCTTTTTTTTATTTTTTTTATAATAATTTAATAACCCCACCAGAAAAGGTAAAACTACTAATATAAATTTACTTAATAGCCTTGGCCTTATAAGATTTTTTAGCTTTTTTAGCCTTTTTAGCCTTAATTTTACTAGTTTTATTAGCTTTTTTATAATTAATTTAATAGCTTTTTTAATATTATACTTTAATTTAATATTTTTAATTAATATATTAATTGATAAGCCAATATTGCTGACAAGTCTGGATTCATGATCACGTATTACCTTTTTAAAGGCTACTTGTCACAAAATAAGTACATAATCTGTCAGAGAATATTTGGCTCTGCTATAATAATAGGCAAGCTTCGAAATCGATCGATTTCGAAGCTTGACAATAGGTATATTATACAAGGTGTCTAGTATAAATACGCATAAAGAATAAAATAACCACTCTAATATTGAAATGAAGCCAATCCCACTTCCATGCAAGCATTTCTCTTGTAATCGACTCCAAATCACCACTCCACAAGTCGCAGGTTGAGCTCCGACTATAAACACCAAAGGCGATCCTGCATAGCTGCCTTTAGTACTTGAAGCTAGCACTCAGACAAATTTGTCTTATTCTGCTTTGGTGAAGAACCTAAGATTAAGGCCAATGTTCGTGGGGCCCGATGGTAAAGCTTTATTGACATCAATCCTGTTCCACCAGTAATTTGGTTTATCAAGAACTTCGTAGACATAGATAGGCTGAGAGTAAGTTGGTGTCTTCTTTGTTAAAAGCCACACATGGCTTTGCTCCTTATAATTTGAAGGTAAAGTTCCATCAGCGATTATATTCCACCAGGGCTCACCATCTTGGTGTCCAAATGTTAACTTGCTGGTACCAGTAACGCCAGGGAATGGGACGCCTCGAATGTTGAATACAGGTGTTGTCTTGCCAATATCTGTGCGCAATTTATCATCGATAACTATAATAGTTAGCAGCCGTAAAACGAACAATCAAGATGAAGAGATTTTCGTACGAGTGCTATTCTTGGGATGGTCCTTGTACTCTGGTTTTGTCCAGTCATACTCTATGTTTTGCACAATATATGTAGTAGAGAAGGCGTCCTAGTAAGCGATGAGTTTGCGTGCCGCGTTATAGTCAACGTCCAGTATTACTTACTATTACAGTTCCAAGAAACGCATCCGGAGATTGGTAAGAAGGCTTGGATGCAGCCTTACTTGGGTCTTTTGAAACATTGGTAATCTAATATATATTCAGTCAGCAAAAATAAAAACGAAATGTACCAAGCCACGTACCCATGTCTTGACTCCATCTTTAGCCTTGATAATAGCGTTGCGTAGCTCTACCTGCTTTTGCTGGAGAGATTCGGGCAATTTAACTAAAGAATCTTAGTTTCAACGGCTTTAGATGTATATCTCGGGTGTACTTACTAGTCTTGAGCATTCGCTGCATGCTATCGTAGTCCGCATAATCGTTAAACACCGCCCAAGTCTGCAAGAATAAGTTAGATTTTTATATTTCTTCTCGGGCGAGTATATATTAGAAACTTGCCTGCTCAATTGCGTCAGAGTAGTCCAGAGGCTTGAACTCATCTTTAAAGTTGAAAACTTGATCATAGCGCTCGACAAGTGCGCTTTACTCCAAATTAGCACTCGGAATCCCCCCCGGATGTATTCTGTGGACTTACTATCGCTTCCACTGATGTTCCCCAGCTTCTGCAATAAACTTATCAGATATGCTCTTGATATCAAGGAGACTAGCGTCGCCTGACTGCAAGGCTTTGATCTCTCCAAGAACGCCAGACTTGGTATCTTTAGGAGGCGCGCCGACCCAAAACATTTCCGAAATGACTTTTGAGTTCTTCGAAAGAAACTCAGAGGCCTGCTTCATTTCTGTACTAACGGTAACACCGACTCCAAACATGCCAAAAGCTACCTTGGCCCTAGAGGTTTACAAGTCAGCAATTATCCCGAAGCTGGAGTAGATGTACCAACTTTGCCTCAAGTTCGTGTTTCTTGGATGACTCGGTAGATTGAATGGATACCTGAGCAAAAAGCGCACCTCCTTCCACGAAATCTAAAACACTATTAGACATATTTTAATTCTGGCGCTGGTACGTCAAGACTTGCCGCTAATAAATCGGTCACAGTATCGCTCAGTCGGATTTTTAGCCTCGTTCCACATGAATTTGTACTTGAGATCGGAAGACGGCTGTCGTTTGACGTCCGCTCTTACAATATATGTAAGAGCGCTATTCTCGAACTAAGTGAATGTAAGCATTGTTATACGACTCGTACTTCCGTAGAAAAACTTACAGTAGACTTATCCAGCATTTTGCCGGAGACTTCTACACTATCATCAAGGTACTGGATACCGAGACTAGCGCTAATCCCAAGCTCCTTGATAATTTGCCTATATCATAATATGAGTACTGTATTACAAGTTTATGTATTCGGGCTCATAGGAGCTTACGAATATTCAGTAATTTGAGTCGCTTGATACTCAATCTGGACTTGACCGGGTGCGTTAGTAGGGCCCGTTACGTCTACTGCACCATTCATGCAGCCCTCCTGCAGGTAGGTGTTGTACCTATACTAAGAATTAGCACGCATGTATACAAGGTATTTGCCTGATATCATGTTTCTCACCCTTGACCCAGGGTCAACCCGTCAGAATACGGAACTGTACTGGCTCCAGCCCCAAGATTATTATGCGGATTCTTAAGAGGCTGGCCATTTGAGCCACCGCTAGGCGGGCCCGTGGAGTCGGGAATATTATTATCGATATCGTTAATACCGTCCTCACCAGGCAGTTTTGCAACTGGTTTTGCAGCTGTAATATGAGCAGCAGTCAATGCTGCCACCAAATGAGTGTAACGCATTGTGTAACTAGTACGCAGAATATTCTGCTGTAATGTAAAGAAACTTGTTAATGAGGGAGTGGCAAAGGATGGTGATAAAGTGAGGTTCAGGAAAACTTTGAGAGGAATGAAGCCATTTTTAAATTATTAATTCTCAACAACTGGTAATCTAAGGAGAAGCTATCTGGAGGTGACTGTATTGCCAGCTCCCTTGGCGTGAACGTATTGCCAGCTACTTTGACGTGATCGTATAGCCAGTTACGCTGACGTGGCCGCATAGCCAGCTGCTCGTGTAGTAACTTGGGTGTTGTTTCCCCTCGAGGCAAGCTTGGTGCAGAAACAAAGATTTGGGTTTATGCGAGGTCTGACGATATTGACAAGGCTTTGGTTAATGCCGCATATACCTTATTGTTTCAAGATAATGTGTGTATAATGGCTGAGCATACTGGTTATACGTCATCACGCTTGGCAAGAGCATATTCTCGGCACTGTTTACCATAATATCCTCTGAATAGAGACTATTCACTTATCGGCGTTACAGTCGGATTACTTTGCTGCCTTCATATTTGCTCAATAATCGTACGAGGTGTAAAGGCCGTGTAAGCATGGTAACCAGTATCTGTCTATGCTTGGTCTGAATAAGGTTTCGGCACTTGTTACAACAGCCCTACAACTAGTCATTTACAATTGGTGTCTTGACTGCGAAACTAGACGTGACCTGGCACTCTTGGTAAGATTACTGGAGATATAGCATGGTGTATGTCAATGCTGGTGGAGTTGTTGGGAACCGGAAAGTGGACAAACACGAATTGCCGGTAACTCTATGTCCTATGATGTAAGAGGCAGTTGAAGAGTCAAGATAAAAGTCTGGATAAAAGTGGTGCTGCCTGGGTCATTAGGGTAATGCAATTCGTCTTAACCTTCTCACGCTATTTAAACGTTATTCGCTTTATTTTCCGGGGGTTGCCCCACAACAATATACCCAACATTATGCGAACAGGGTCCGAAGAGACGGTCTGTCGTGCCAAACCATGGTAGGTTCTGCTGAAAACGATAGCCCGGCCCGATCCTGGCCCAAACACGGCACTGCAAAGTAAACCAGACTCGTGTTAATGCCTCTCGGCATAGAAGGGCACAGTATCGGGAAAGCCTCAGAATGTATATGCCGTAGCTAGAGATGTAAAGCGAAAAAAAGGTATAAAAAGCACAGTTTCCACCTGCTATGAACTTTTCCATTCAGCAAGCTTCTCTCGACAAACACTTCAAGACAAATAATTCTCTCACTCTTCTCACAACTACTCTACTCTCTTCACTTTTCACCACCAAACTATTCAAAATGAAGTTCACTCTCCCTCTTCTCGCTCTCCTGGCCGGCTTTGCCGCTGCTAAGATTGACGGCTCGTCGGTAAACGACATCGACAATAACGAACTCGGCGAGGGTGCACCCAACCACTGCCCGGTCGGCAGGCCCTGCAGCAGCGATAGAGTAAGAGATTCGCTAATCGCATGAATATACACTACTAATACTATAATAGCAATGCGGCTCATGCTCATGCAATGACTGGACCGGCAAGTGCACGGAATAAGCATATATTAATGCCATGTCTTGCGCAGACTTCGAGGAGGATTATGTAACTTTTAGCCGTTGTATGGAGTTCTTCACTGAAGTTTAAGCTCGGCCGGCTATTAGTGGGCTTTATTTTTAGCAAAAGTTTGTAGTCTTATTGAGGCTGTGTGAGTCTTGTATACTTGGTATATTAGCTTCTCTCAACATATAGAGTTTCTTTAAGATTCAATACATATTTGTCTAAAAGTCTGATATGTTCACACTTGCGCACTTTTGAATACTTGGTCGCCAAGACGGAGGAACCAACGCTCATAATTTATTGGGGTGACGATGATCAGGTTCTGTCGCTGGGCACGGAGTTTACGATTAGCATGGACCGGTTCCGAACTCTATCTGACCACTTCATTTCAGAACCGGTGGCCGTGGCCCAAGACCTGCTTTATAGTCTTAATCCAGTTTTGCACATTGCCAAAATCAAGGATGACATGACAAATCGAGACGTTGGCTATTTATTCGCGAAGCACGAGGAAAATGGATTCCAAATGTCTACAAAGCGACTCCTCAACCGACTAAGTCAGCCTCACTGACGCCTGCCACCGCTCATAACGTATAGAGGCTGGCAATGGTTAGCTATGAAACGTTACCTAGGTATAGTGACTCGTTTACAAGAGCTGATATTTGGTGGCAAGTACACAAGTGGAGGCCAAACCCCGCGGCTACGCGAACTGCAGTGGCTTCTATGCGAGAATACATCATGGGATTCGAGGGGAGTTTATGTGTGGAATGGCTCAGTGGTGTACATTACAAAGCACCATAAAGCAAAGCATATGACGAATAAGGAGTTCTATGTAGCCCGATTTCTGCCACTTCGGCTTGGGCTGGTGGTTATCCAGTATCTCGCATATATTTACCCTGAAGCTGATCGCGTCGTGTCAAGATCAAGTTGTTTATTTAAGGCAATAGCCATGGTTATACTGCTCGTTGCAGGCAGGAGCATTACAATAAGTATTCAGTTTAGTTACGTATTAATACGATTCGTCTCTTTTATATAGAAAAATAAAGAGCCTCTCATTTTGTCCAAGCTGTCTCAGATAATCGTGCTGTGTGACACGTCGCGCCTGCACGATGTGTAGCGGCTCAGCTCTTTTTGCAAACTAACTAGGTAGCCAGTGGATCGCCAAATAGAAACCTTGACGTTTCATGAATACCAGGATCACATGCGCAACATTTTCTGTGGGCCCACACCTTTACCAACGGGTAGATGGACGGCGAATTTCCACAGCCAATTACGGCCACTCGGCTGGATTGGTAGGTGGGGTATACATTAGGGCACGTATCGCCCACAATGTGTACAGTTGTAACTTGTACTTTACGTCCCACGTGGCGCTTGACGACACGCATCCAGATGTCGTCACATGACATTTAATGTATTGACGTTCCCCGTTACTGGGTAAATAAGCGCACTCTAGCGCCAGTAGTTCGCTTAACTATGCATAATTGTAACCTTCAAATCTCAACACACTACAATTATGACGAGCGCGGCGGTGACGTCGTCAATGCGGGCTGTCGCTTGGAATGTATTGACACTTCACTATCGGCGAAGAAGAGGATCCGGGTGCCTTTGCCGCAAGCTTCCAAGTTAGTGGCAGTGACCTCATTACCTTCCGTGATGTTTGCGATGAACTGCGTCTCTGCTTTGAGTTCTCGAACGACAAACTGCGCGGCGACAGCCACGATGACGATGACGGACATGACTCCTGGTCTCATATCGCATTCTACCGCCTTTATACAGTACGGATAATTTGACTGGCTCCTCCTTGCCTGGCTTGCGCTTCATAACCGGGTCGGGCTTGGGTAGGGCTGTGCCCAGCCTCGCATCACTCCGTCCCAGAGAACAGAACGTCGCAAGGTACCACCTTGTGTACCACGAGGACTGCCATGTGCCTTCCAACTCGTCAATAGACTCTCATTTACAAGGTTAGTCGCCAACATCATCTGGTTTGTTGCTGTAGAGCAGTCTTATCAACCTAGTTCTCAGCAAAATACGCTCGACACCTTCCAACCCCTGTCCGCCGTCGCGATGTTCGATATTTGCCACCCAATAGAACGCCATCTGATCCAAGACTTGCTGTTATGCCGCTCCGACGGAAGTTCAAAGCCCGCTCTCAGTCTCCTCCTAAACGGCCGGCATCGGACCCAAATTCACCAACGAAGGAAGATCCGGACGATTCGATGACACGCTTGCACCTGCAACTATGAATATTGATCTTGAGGAGGCTAAGAGGGTTACGAATGAATTCGGATCCTCCTGTCTCAATAGAGCCACCTCTTGTGCCGTTTCCGGCGAAGGAGAATCATGGTGTCCGGGGCCGCCAATAGAGCCTGGTATTCAGGCTTGCCACATTGTGCCTCAGCAGCATTACCATCTGTATCCTGTCAGCAGCGGGCTTGCTGACGGTCATGTATAGCACTTATACACCCAGCGAAGAATTGATAGACTCGTTAAGCAGGGACCGGGACCAACTGTTCCTGCCAAATATATCTAGGCCAGGGAACCGTGATTGACCAAGCAACACACCGTCAACGCATCACGAAAAATTGGCCCGTGAGAGTTTCGGCCCCGGATACACATTTACGGTAGCTCAAATCCACGGCATAGGTCCTTATGAGAATAGCGGGTTTGAACCTAATGAGCCCCGGTCCTATACAAAACTACTAGCGCTCTCAATGCTTACCTCCCGAGTTAAATCCTCGCTCTCTAAATCCCCCTTGTACATGAAATCGTCAGACTTTCCATCCTTTCCTGGGAACACAACGGATACCTCCCAGCCTCCGTAGGCCACTTTCATAGTTACGGCTGGGTACAACTTGCCACGAATTTGGGTGAAGGCCCGCCCTGTTTGGGAAACAGTGCTATAAGCATGCATCTCATGAACAGTTTAAGGGGGGTATTCCGATATGCACTCACCGACAGCTGTTCCGTCGATGGTATAAAATGCTTCGCCTGTTGCAAAGTTGATTCCGCACCCGAGGACCTTGCCCGCCTCACTGCAAGCATCAGCATACTTAGTTCCAGTCCATGGATTATTCCCGTCCTCAAAAAGACAGCCGTCGTCCGAATGGAACGCCCATGAGCCTTGGAAGCAGCCGAGCGCTCTATCCAGCGAAGTCTTGTCTTCGCAGAATCCAATGCCGACGAACCTAATCATTGTGGTTGGTAAGATGTACGAGAGGGTGAAGCTTTGGGAAGATTCTTACCCTTTTTCGGCAACTTTGGTGAGTCTAAGCTCAAAATAGTAGACTCTGCCTTTGTAAAGGGGCAGCATGGGGTAGTCTGCCCTGACGATTGCGCTGTCTAGCCCGGTCCGATAGATAAATTTGGTCCCTCCTAAGACAAATGGTTTAGTCAAGGTATCTTCGGTTTGCCTCGTGAACCTTGTGTGTGATTGATATACAACTTACCCAGAACACTCAGGGTGTTGCCATCGGGTCCCATCTCGAAACTACGGTATGAATCCTGAGGATGCCACTTGGTTGGCCTCTGCAGCCCTTCTGCTGGCTTTGAAGAGATTTGAGCATGTTGGTGCAGAATTGACTCTATACGGCCCGAGTCATACCGTTGGGCAGTATACAACGGAGTCCAACCATCGGGCCCCGTGAACTCGACATCCACATCCTCCTTCTCGAGGAGTTTTTCGAGAGCATACGGCCTATCGGATGCAATAGCTCCGTGAACAGCAACGTTCCAGAGGTCCGCGGGCTGATCATCTCGCTCTTCCAGGGCCCTGATGACAACCCCAAGCGTCTCCATCCGTGCTCCGCGCGCAGCCCAATAGAGCGCGCTGCGGCCACGGCAGTCGACAAGACACGGGTCTGCGCCCCTTTCCAACAGCTCCTCGATAATTTCGAGATGGTCTAGAGCCGCTGCACGCACCAGGGCCGTCTTGCCTTCATAATCCTGAGCATTGAGTACCTCGGGCTTGCTGAAGCCCTTTTCTTCGAGGAGGAGCTTGACGGTGGTCTTGCAGCCAAATATCGTAGCAAGGATAAGAGGCGTCTGGGAGTTGGTGTCCACCTCATCGGCATCGAAATAGCCTTCCCTGAGGAGGTACTCGACCGCCTCGTCGCTGAGATTTGCAACTCCGTGTATTAGGGCGGACCGCCCGTCTGCGTCTCTGGCCAGAGGATTTGCTCCCGCGTTTACCTGGACTTGCAAAACGTTGGCCCTGTCTGATATAGCTGCGATGTGAATAGGTAACCTGCCATCTCTCCCAGCTCTGGAGACGCCTGCTTTCTTGATTATGAGTCGGATAGTGGCCAAGTCTGACCCAGTTCGGATAGCTGCATTCAGAACGCTATCAAGGTCACCTCCCGTGAGATTAACGTCTGCTCCGTTGTCGATGAGCAGCTTGACAAGTTGTGTCCTTCCTTTGGATGATGCTCTCTGAAGAGCGGTGGCTTGGTTTTCGTGGGTGACATTGACATCAGCGTCGTGTTCGAGGAGCAACTCGACTTTTTCCTGGGCATCCTGGTCGCTTTCCACAGCGGCACATAATGCGCTGTACCCTCCTCGCAGAGTATTGACGTACGCCCCTTTTTCGAGGAGCCACTTGACCGCACCAATAGTGCCTTTGGAACATGCCACGTGCAGCGCAGTAGGCCGAGGCTCAGATGTTCTGTTCACCATGCCCTCGACGTCGCGTTTGACAAACATCTCTGCCAGTTCAGAGTTAAATTCCAACGAAGACACGCAGTCGCGGAGAGCTGAAAAACACACGGCTTTGAGGCCAGGTGTTGCACTATCTTCGAGTGCCTTGAGCAGATATTGGGCCTCAGGGAGTTTCCCCCGCCGCGCCGCGATGCGAAGTGCAGTGTCCCCATCAGGGCCCTTAGCAAAGAGATTCAGACGATTGCTCTTGCTAGCAAGTATCTTGATTAGCTGGAGAGTGTTCTCCTGTTCGAATGCCAAAATCAGCGGGGGGTCCTCGAAGGCACCCACGAGGTTTGGATCAGCGCCGGCTCCCAACAGCAGCCCCGCAGTTTTGATGAAATTCTCCCGGATGGCGAGAGCTAAAGGTGTAAGACCTTCATTTGTCAGAGCATTTGGTTCCGCATCATGCTTCAGCAGCAACTTGGTCATGGACGGGTTGTCAAATGCCGCGTGCAGAACATTCCAACCATCCGAATCTCGAGTAGCAATATTTGGCTTGGGTTTTGAGTCAAGAAGTACTTCAGCCACCCCAACATGGCCATCGAAAGCAGCTTGATATAACGGAGTTCGGCCGAAGCTGTCTTTCAAGTCGTTTGCAGCCCCAGAGCTTAAGAGATAGCTCGCTAGCTCCGCTGTCCCAGCAAGGTGCGTTACCGTTCGACCAAGACTATCCTTGGCGGCGATATCGCAGAGCGGGTGTTCAAGAAGTAGCTTGACGCCTGGAAAAAAGGCATCCATGACTGCAATATGCAGCGGCGCCAAGCTTTCGGCATCGCGAACGTCGGGCCTCCAACCTTTGTCAAGCAGGAGCCGCAACATGTCAATATTCCCCATGTTGGCGGCCATATGAAGTGGGATCCCTCCTCGGTTTGACTCGGTCTCGTCACCGACAGTATTATCTAGCATCTGAATAAAGTCCTCGACGTATTCGATTTTCTCATGGCGCACCAACAGGTCAAAGGCCGTATAGTGGCATTCGTCCTGCGTCCACATGATGTCTTTGAATGCGCATAATGTCTTGGCAACCGCCATGTGTCCGTTCCCCGCCGCAAGGTGTAATGCTGTCCTTCCCGAGTCGTCTGTCTTTTTGTGATCAGCCCCTTGCTCAAGAAGCTGGTCAACGCAGGACAGGTGTCCGTTTTCCGCAGCAAGAAGCAATGCTGTTTTGGAATGTTGATCAACAAAATCCTTTTCGGCCTTGTGGCGGATGAGAACCATCATAGCATTTACATGCCCGGCTCTGGCAGAAATATGAAGCGGCACAATACCCTCATTTGTGGTGGCATTGACCGGAAATGATCGTGGATGAGCAAGTAGCTCTTCGAGTATTTTTGAGTGCCCTCCTTCAGCTGCAAGATGAATTGCTGTTTTCCCACCAGAATCGACGGCAGCAGGGGCCAAGATGTCACCGGCAAGGGTCTCAAGAAGAGTCTTGACAACTTTGCTATGTCCATTCATAGCTGCCAGATTGAGAGCCAATGCACGATCCCGCGGCCTGCTCCAGGTTTTACGTTCAAGCAAGGCACGTACAACCTGGTCGTGTCCATTCCCAGCAGCTAATTCCAGCGCTGATTTGGGTCGGTCTTCCCGAACGGTGATGGGAGTCGGGGCCGCGGAAGAAGGCCTGCTTCTCCGTTCTGGGGAGCGCCTTGAAGTCGACTTGCGGCGGGACCGTCTTCGAGTATGTCGGCGAGAACTTGTGGAAGGGTTTCCCGGGGGTATTACAAACTCTATGGGTGACATTTGCTGGTCGTCCTTGTCTGTGCTGTCAATGCTCTCTGTGTCTTGCTTCTTGTCCGTCTTGTCGACTAACAAGTTCAGGAGACTGACATGTCCCTGTCGCGCCGCGATATGAATAGGGGTCAAGTGGTGGATGTTCGCTGTTTGGGCAAGCTCGGGAGCGTCCTTGCTATGTCGTAAAAGGATCCCAGCTGCCTCGGTATGACCGCACGCAACCGCAAGATGTAGTGCAGTGTTTCTATCTGACGTGGATACTTTGTCTACACTCACCTTCTCTAGGCCATCATTTCTATACCTCAGAAGTAGGTATAGTAGCTCTGGGAATCCCCCTATTGCTGCATAGCTCAAGGGTCCGTATCCTGTAGAATTCTCTATATGTACATCGGCACCTCTCTCGAGTAGCAGCTCGGCAATTCCCAGTTGCCCAGTGAGTGCTGCCAGATGTAAGCTCGATTCAGACCAGGCTAGGTGGGCTAACACGTTGGCCTCAGTCCCCGTTGGAGACAGTTTCAGGTCATCGACGTCCAAGTCGGAGTCTGAATCCGACTCGGGGTAGCTTGACTGTCGAGTAAGGCGGTTTTGCTCACGGATCAATTTCGAAAGCTCCTGGCTTGGAATGGGTGATATAAGAACGTTGATATCGGCCCCCTTTTCCAAAAGCAACGAGACGATTTGCGTGTGGCCACCACAAGTAGCGTGATGGAGTGGCGCATACCTTGTCTCGTCTATATAGTTCAGGTCGAAACCAACGGAAAGCAGGGTTTCAACGACATTCTCGAAGCCCCCTCTAGCGGCTAGACCAAGGGCCTCTGGTGATCTGACGCCTTTGTCAAGCAAATTTCGAACAACATTGTCATGGCCGTTTCTGGCTGCAAGGTTAAGTGACTCGCGCATCTGGACTTTTGGGTCCTCGGTAGGCGCCAAGAGACCGATGCAACGATCGACCAGCTCTGCAAGTCCAAAGTTGCACACTATTTTGAGAGGGCTGTTCAGCGAGGTATTGATTCTCTTATGCAATGGATTCAGCAGATGGTGAAGATTTTGCCACGTCTTCACCCCCTCGCCACCTTGGAGAAACTGGAGTAGAAAGCTCTGAGCTTCGGACTTGGTGGTTGTTTGTCGAAAATGGCGAGGCCATTGCAGAGATGCATAGCTAAGTAGGCCCAAGTCCCAGTCAGCAGGGAGGGAGGTCAGGATGCCGTCTTCGCAAATGAAAGATTCTGCGCCTCGTTTGCCGAAACCCCTCACATATTCGAGACAATAGAAGAGAAGGCTGCAATGGCTGTCAACTAGCGGGCAGCCGTCTTGGCCAAGACTGTCTCGTCTCGGCTTCTCCTCCTCCTCCTCCTCCTCTTCTTCTTCTTTTTGTGACAGAGTATCACTCTCTGTCTGCGGCAGGCTGGAAGCAAATACTGTTTCTACGAGGTAAGCTCGAAAGGTGTCGTGGATGAAATAGACTCGGTTGTCTTCCACCTTCAAGAGCGGTACCATATGCTGCTTCAAATCTCCAATAATGTCTCGGCGGATCAAATCACTAAAATCGTCGGACGAAAAGTCTGTGGTCCAAGGGTACCCCCCTGGGATTTCGTCAAGCGCCACGGCTACCGCCAGCTCAGTCGGTCTCAGGGGTCGAACTGCAAAGGCAACCCATCGAAGAGCTGCAGTCACCCAGTTGCAGTTTGCCTCATCTATGGAGCTCAGTGCACGGTTATAGAATCCATAGAGTGTTGTGGGTTGTTGTTTGAGTGCCTTCTTCAGGGACTTTCTTGTCGAATGTCTGCCAGTCCACTCGAGCAAAACCATGTTAAGCTTGACCAATAAATACGGCGAGTCTTTGGGCAGTTCTCCCAACATTTCGGTCGCCAGTTTTTCGAGCCCGTCCCATGCAGAGTTGTCAAGTGCCAACTCGTTGATCCTGCCCCGGACATGTTGCTCTTTCGCGAACAACATGTTTTCACTGCTTGACTCAAGAGCAACGTCCTGGTACTTTGTCGACTCGCAAGTTGATTGCAGTGCCACCAAGGACCCTGAGAGGAGAAGTTTAAATCGGCCTTTTGACGGTCCAATGAATCCCTCCATGCGGTTGATCGTCTCCTTTTGGAAGGTGCTGCACTGGTCTACGCCATCAACGATGCAGTATACCGAGACACTTTGGTCGTCTAGTAAGTGACTCATCAGGCATCGGACCATAACCCACAGGGTCTCCGTAGTACAAACGCCATCTTTGGTAAGGAACTTGGCAACAGGTGAAATATGTTCAAAGTAACCTGGCCGAGAAGAGAGAAGTTGACGACATAGTGAAAGATAAAGATCGAATGGAGCACGGGCACGAATATTATTCTTGTCGAACGAGAAGCTGAGATATACGGTTCTTTTGAGATCTGTTTTCTCTAGGAGCATCCCCAGAATCCGTGCCGCTACTGCAGTTGGACCAGAGCTTGAAGGTCCGCTAATGCGTAGAATCCCTACCGAGGGGTCGCTTCTCCAGGACATGACAGCATTGTTGTCGCAGATCCAGTCCACTTGGGTCGATGTTACAAAGGTTGGCCTCAACCGATGGATCTGGGAGTCAAGGAGTGATAGATGTCGAAAGAAGTCATATAGTAGCAAATTTCTGCCTAGAATTCTGAGTTAGCTTGGCTGTAAATGTGTTGACATCATGTACGTTTGACGAACTGTTTCTCGTTGCAAGGATCCGTTGGTACAGCTCCTCAGCTACGGGTTCCCCAGGATAAAACCGCCAGAGCTCCTCGTGTGTAGTGTCACAGGGGACGTCCGTCTCATCCTGTAAACCAAGGATCGAACACTTACTATCAATCTTGCCGCTTAGTTAGCTTGACTATCGTTGCCCACCCTGTCGTTCCTATCGTCCCCTTAATGGCTTCTTACTGAGGGATGTCTACTTGACTCGTAAAAGTTGACAACGTCAAAACTGCTAGATATTGTGCGGAAACTTGCGTCAAGGCCGTCCAATCCGCCCGCTAAGCGTTGAACAAGTTTGACGGGGTACTCTGGTGGTGGCACAAACATCAGAATGAGGCGCGAGCACATATGCTCCCAGGTGTTTTGCCCAGTTGCTCTATGCGGTGCGCCGAAAAAGACCTAATGATGTGATGAAGTTAGCGAACCGAGTCAAGTTTTGCATAAAAGAAAGAGATGGATCTTACGACAGTCGAAGTATTTAATGCTATATCCCGATACCGTGGCTCTTCCGTCGCTGATATGATAGCCTTACGAGCTCAGCCATGTTTGTGTTCATTCGGACCGACCCAGGGTGTTTGTTTACCTTTTTCACAATCAAAGCCCCGAGTCCATGACCAAGGAAGACTATTGGAAGATTCTACAGATTGTGAGCGTTTGTCTTGCCCTTGAAGTCCACCTGGCTTACATGTGAGACGTTCTGAGAGCTTCGCGAGTTCCGTAGTTGTTCTAGTAGCAAGCTGGATCTGTGGTACAAAAGTCGGCTTCTGGTGACGGAGCCGCCTAAGAGGCAGAATTCGTCGAGGAGACAGTTCGGAAATCGTTCAATGAGAAACTTCTTGGGATCTCCGTCTTCTCCTGCACGAGACCCAGCAACTCCAGACACAAGAACCAAGCTAGTGCGAATATCGTCAGTCTATGAGCCCGGATGCATAACCAAGTCAAGTCTCCATCCAATGTTAATTCAGATCAACCTACTGGATAGGGCCATCCATGATGAATGAGCTCGGGCTCCACGAGTTTTGAGCTACGATGCCGAAGCAAAGGCGGTATGACTCTCGTGGTAAGGGTGTTTGTAAAGGGAGTGAATGCTCTAGATCAGAAAGAAGGGTATACAGAGTACTGATCCCGGACTGTTCCCCCCAATTGAGGCTAACCTCAGGGTCAGACGGGGAACGACTAATATCCCAGCTTTCCCAGGTCAGGACCTTGGGAATAAGCAACTATCAATACGTGGAATGGGATGATTTGCAACGGCGTGAAGGGCAAGGGTGTTATCATACCGTGCTGAGGGGTTGATGTATGAAGCATCCGATATGCCCTGGTTCGTGTGGTTGAACAACAAGTCCACCAACGAGGCCAAGGTTCTGCGACGCCAAATTGAACTCGCACAGAAGAGGGGTTGCAATATGCAGTTTTCAGCTTGACGTCACCTGTCAGCTCTGCAGACGCAGCCTCGCGTATTGATGCAGGGTTTGACTGCTATGCCCAATCGGTCAACGTTGAGCTGTCAACTGTCCCACTGAATTTCTCCCACTGCTTTATGATATCTGATGGATTCTGTAAATTCCCGAGCTGTACGGAGTACGGAGCACTCCGTATGTCAGAGCTGTTGTTGCAAGGGCTTTCTATGAGGGCCTGTGAGTAGCTTCAAATATCAAGTAATACTTATCTTTGGTTTCTCAAGGATCTTTGCGAGCTCCATCTAGGTGAGGGGGAAATATTCGTATATGTACATGATCTTCTGAGTGTGCGTAACCTGACCTAGATGACTGAGGCATCTAGGTCCTTTGTTGTCCTGGGCTTTGATGCCTAGCTCATCGACCTCTTGGTGCTCCGTGATATGCCTTCTTTGTGCGTTTGCAGCCGGTTTCGGATAGAAAGGGGTCACGGGTTACTTTTGTGTAACAGCTATTGGAATGAGACGTGAGCATGATACTCAGTAACTCAGCCGAAGGCTGACTCTCCATTAAGTCTTTGATGGATCTGCTCGGGAATGGCTACCCCATTGATGACAGACTCGCAGCCTTGTACCACTGCTCTAAAGTGCAGGGTGTGACATGGTATTTTAATTCTACGCCGTGTGTCTGTGTCTCAGTCAAGGCTAGGAAGAGTCAAGTATTTGTGTAACCCTTCCAATCACATCACATCAATACCACATTATGTGACGATTAATCTCACTTGGCAGCCCCCCTCCCTCGCAGCTCTGTTCCATCCAACACGGTAGTGACCGTCACATCGGCCACATCCTTCAAACCCAGGCTATCCATTTCCTTCAGGTTATGAATCTGGGGGTCTAGGCTCACCATCGACGCGCGTCCAGTCTTCGGCATCTCTGCAAGGCCAATTTCCACTGGATCAATGGGGTCATTCTTCTCCAGGCCAAACAGTGTCTTGACTTTTCCGATGAAGTCCACGTCGGCCTTGACCTTGACGGTGAAGGTGAAGGGCACATCGTAGGGGCGTCTCAGGAGAACTGCCGCTCGGACGAAAATTGGGATTCCATCTTGCTTGTCCCCGTTTTCCTCCAGCTTCCAAATAACAACATTCTCTTGTCCATCGAACCCTTTTCTGATGATCTTCTTCGCTCCGGTCAACTTGGTGTAGAACTCTCGGCTCTTCACCTCTTCCATCTCCCAAAGCAGTCCGGCTTCCGCACTGATCGGATCGATTCCCGCGCTGAGGCCTGCATTGGCACCTAACTTGATATTTCGCACCTTTTCCGTCTTGCTGAGCGCCCACTGGCCCTCGGGGGAGATGTCGTGGACAACCGGGTCCCAGTCGGACTTGCCCTCAGAGTCCTCGAATTTGAACATGACTGATGCGCTCTTGAAACGTCGCCCACCTGTAGCGATATGACGCATCTCGAAGACGAGGAGAGTGGCTAGGTCGTCGCCCCCGGTCATCTCTCCATGGGTGATGCCGACAATGTTGATCTTTGTACAAAGTTGATCTCCCCGATCGACGAGAACGGGCCGGAATCTCTCATTGGGCTTGTTCTTTGTGCGGAACTCTCCCTCCTCGATAGGCTCTTCGAAAAGGTTGACAGTCAATTGATTGGCCATTCTGCTTGCCCGGATAAGTTGATGCGAAAAAGGAGACAACTTGCAGGCAAGGTGTGGCAACTTGTGAGATAGATGGGTATATGTAGTACATGGAAGAGGTGCGGATAGAAGGGAGCCTGTAGTATCAATGGCACGACTAGAATTAAATAGCATCAATTGATCTGGATCCCGATTTTATTCATACCAGACACCTCTACGTCTGCACCCTCGCTGTCTCTGCAACGGCTGAACCTGCACTTTTGCAACCTAGGCGGAATACCTAACTCGGCATGCCTAATCTGGATTGTTTTCGCTCACCGAAGCCTTTTGGTTCTGCATGCATAGATTCAGCCGTCACATCATGTTGAGGTTTGTCAGCGAGGCTCCAGGATGTGCATTATCGTTCTTCACACCCACTCATGCAAGTGATACACCCCAGCCTCATTATACCTGCAGCCGTACGGAGTGCTCCGTCGTATCTGTAGGGCAATACTCCGTATATGCCGCCCTTGCCCGCTTTTGAAGACGCCTTCGCTTGGCAATAAATACCTGTCTGTGATGCAGAGTGCGCTTTGGCGCGCATTCTATAAGTACACACCCTCAATACGCTCTCTGCCAAGCATAGTCGGAGACCAGCAATGAGGCTACGCGAACTCATGCCTAGCACCAACAGATCTCCTTCTTCTAGCATTACCGGTCTAACTCTATCATTTTGGACACCATGTCACAATCAAGCAGCGATAAGATCAAGATGGAAAAGCACGAAAGAGGTAGAACGCATGATAAGAGCAAAAAGGCCAGCAGTACCAAAGTCGCCAAGGGAAAGAAGCCGGGAAACACGCAACGACCGCAGCATACGGCAAACGAGCATGACAATCAGAAGGAGGAGACCCTATCTGAAATACTCTCAGATGCCTTGCAGAAATTTCCCGACACGTGCACCGAGGCGTGTAATCCGGTCAAATGCGAGCGTATGAGCTGCAAGCAGAGGCTGCATGACTTCGAGGTATTGTTCAAGACAAAGCTGAAAGACATGACGCAGAGGGCCCAAGAAAAGCAGGACAACACACTACATCTACTAGTAAAGGACAAGGGGTGGAAATCAGAGCATACAACGCCCCCAAAGAGGCTCTTTGACTGGATGCTGCAACAGCGAGAGCATGATGTCCTACTACAACAAAGGGATCCTCGCGGATTCACGCCAGTGCACAATGCACTCTACGACCATGTTCATGACTTCATCGACGTTTTGCTGAAAGCAGATCGCCTGAGCACAATCAGTATTCTTAGACAGGATTTTGCGGGCAGTAATTGCATCCATCTCGCCACGCAACACGCATCTCCTCATCTTTCTACCATGATCCACAAATGTAAGGGAGACAATGAGATTTTCATGGATGGTGATAAAACCGAGAAAGGAACGCCTCTGCATATTGCTGTCCAGGATGTCTTTATCCCAGTGGTCGATGAGGTTGAGGAGGATGATTCTGACCCCGAGGATCAAGGGCTTGAAGATGACGACCAAGACGGATTGCTCGATTGCCATGATAATGCCGACCACGATTCCCATCACTTGGATGAGGATGTGGACGAATTTGCGCTGGATTCAGATTATGAATCTTCAAGTTTGAGCGAGTATGAGACAGACTTAGAGCTTGAAGAAGTGAAGTACAGATTTGAAAACAAAGAAGAACGGGAGAAACGACTGGTCAAGATTCTCGATGACCTTGACAAGGAGGAGAACACTAGGCCAAGACCGCCGCCCAGGACACATGACGCAAATCCGGATAACCCACAGCGTATGGGTGCCGAAGATGCTGTGGATGACCTAGCCAAAGAGAATAACAGCCCATCTATACCCAAGGTTGTGATGTCTCAAGGCTTGATAGACCTACCGCCTGATCACAGCGTGCGCCTCCTTGTTGAGGCCTACCCGAAAGCCTTGATTGCTAAGAACAGTTGCAAAAGGACCCCGTACCAAGAGAGAGAGCACGTTCTGCTGAGCGATGACGTTGTAAAACGACTTGTGCAGCAGTATGCCCACAAGAAGGGCCCCCGGGGTGACACCATGGAGATCCGCGAAGCTCGTGCTAAGCGCACGATCATTGTACAAGATCCCGTGGCCCGCTACATCATGTCATACTGCATACGAGAATCTAAATCTCGGGAGTTGACAATGCAACAGCTCTACAAGCCGGGTCAAGGTGAGTGTCGAGGCATTTGTCAGGCCCCAGCAGCCCTTAATATTCTAACCAAAATCGACTCCAAGAACGCCACATCGAGTTCGACCTCGAGGGCTTCCCCTCACCTTCTGTCACACACAACTATTTTGATAATCTGGGAAAGCACCTCCAGTTCGAAAGCATTCTAAGATATGTCGCTTTGCCTGTTCTGTCAGTCGAGCCTCCGCCATCAAGGAACCCGAGAATGTGAGCTATTTCTGATACTGAGCCTACGGCGTCTCAACGGCAAGGAGGGGCTAACTGACCTGCTGTCTGCCATAGCAAACAAGTATCACCCACCGAAACTCAATACGAGCTCCATCGAAACGGACGTTCCGATCTTGTGACAGTATTCGACTGGCTCTGGAGCAAGGGTGTGCGCGAGATTGTCAAGATTAGGGTTGTCGACGGAGATCTACCCCATGCCGACGCTTCCATAGTAGAAGCGTTGTATGGTTTCAACGTGAAGATGTGGGATTGGAAGAGGGTAGATCTCTGCAGCGACGTCATCTATGAGTCGTCGCCAGTCATCAAAGAGGTTTCCGTGTATTCATCTGGCAATAACGCTGTTCTAATGGGCTGGGCGAGTGAAGATGGACTTGGGAACCGCGAGAAGTTCCCCTGCGTATGTTTCGAAAATTCAACCTTACATGTGCCAAGAATCTGGTCGCTGACAACAACAATCCTACAGCTTGAAAAGATCAACTTATTTGTCCAAGATGTAAGCCTCTCTACCCGTCCCAGGACGAATAGCGACGACTTTACTGACCCTCCGTTTGATACGTCTAAAAGGGCCTCGAAGATGACAAGAGATGGCAGTCGAACAACAGACTTTGCCAGAAGAAGATTACAGAACATGGGCTGAAGGGGCGCGATGGACATGGCGGCAAAGAAATTGAGTTTAAGATTATCATCGACAACGACCAGGGCCGTTCCACTACCGAAAACATTGAACCGTAAGTCCAATCCTTCCCTTGCGTTCGAGTCCAACCTCTCTGAACAACAACAGGGCTCCTGCATGGATCAAAAGCACCCGACAATTTGCGACATTCCTCATGAACGCCTCCAGGGAACAAGGGAAAGACAAGCAAGTCGCGCCGGTCAAAATCGCCATCATCGACGACGGCATCGATGCTACCTTGCATGACCTTCAATCCAAGATTGCCGGCGGTGCCACATTCTGCCCTTATCCTCACTCCTCCGAACTAGTGAATTCCTACTTTGTGCCTCGCGGCAAGCACGGCACACTGATGGCACAACTGATCTGCGACCTGTGCCCGGGCACTGAGCTTTATATTGCCAGACTCGAAGAGCTTCCATTGCTCTCTGGTAGTGGTCGGCGTGTAACGGCAAGATCAGCGGCCAAGGTCTGTCTGACAAACCTCCCTTACCACTATCCTATTCGTACATTGATCGACTGACACAGTGGTCCAGGCCGTGGAATGGGCGGTGAATTGCGGCGTTGACATCATCTCGATGAGCTGGACGATTCAAACAGCCGCACATGACAGCGAGGACATGAGTAGCCTCGAAACCGCCCTGAACAATGCAAAAGCAGCCAAAATTCACATGTTTTGTTCGGCTAGTGACCAGGGAGCGAACACCAAGGAAGAGTACTTCCCGGGCGACTGGAAGCAATGCATCCGCATCGGCGGTGCCACCTTCACCGGCGAGAAACTGACTTGGGTTGACGACAAGGTTGACTTTTGGTTTCCCGGTCGCAACGTCCCCTTCCTCTCGAGAGACGGAAAGTCAGTGGTATACGACTCTGGCAGCTCCATCGCCACTGCGGCAGCGTCCGGCTTAGCTGGCCTGCTAATATACAGCGCCAGGCTCATCTACAGCGGTACCAACGAGGCCAGGAACTATCCCTTCCACACGCAGACCGCCATGGCTGCTGCATTTCGCATCATGGCAAAAGGAATGGACGGCAAGTTTCCGAGGACAGACGAAGTTCTAAACAAATTGTTCAAGAATAAGATCCAGCAAGCCACACAAAAGCCCCCCAAGAGCCTGGATATGGAGACTCTGGAGTGGTCTGACAGTTCCAAGAAGGCACTGACAGATCTATTGTTGCATATTCAGGTAGGAAGTCCGATTGAAGAGGTGGTGCTCTGGTGATATTGTCTCTTGTGTCTTCAGCTGACAAACGATGATTCGCAGGGTTCATGAAATTTCGGCTTTTGGACTTAGTCAAGACAATGTCCTTGGCTGACGGACTTCAAGCCTAAGCCAATGAGTAAAATTACTATTCAACTGCTTAATCTCAGGCCATGGAGGCATGAGTCCCGAACTAACATGTCCGGGTCATGAATGTGCTGTTCGACTAACACCGTTTATTGCAGAGAGTACGGTTGCTGGATTGGCGGGAGTATTAACTTGAGATTCAACCGATAGTTCTACATGGGAGTCAGCGAATTGCTTGAATCGCCTGTACCGCAGCTTGAGATAGAAATGCGTGAGTAGCAGCGCCGAAGCCGAGAGCAGGACGGGGAGGAAGACCATCTTGGTCCCTCACGCAAGGCAACGTCTCGTCGACTTTGAAAAAAGGAAAGAAGAAGGCGGGTGGAGTCAAGGGCGTGTGCAGGCTATGAATAGAATGAGTTGGAGTCTTGGAAGAGAGATGCACATTAACCGATCATTGCTCGCTCACTTAACCTCACCCGAATAATCCCCGAATGTAGGACCCTTAGTGTCTGGTCGTCTTTGACTCGTATTATTGATTGGTTCCAAGCCCCCTTCAACTGTTTTGTGTGCCGACCCGTGGGCTCTAGTTCGCCAATACACACAGTCTGACGATTTCAACAGCTCCGATCCGTGAGTAAAATTCTTTGTTGCCTCTGTACTAAAGCTCCTAGAACTAACGTTGGCGAGAGACATCCCGAGCGTAAACAACCCATGCCTCCACAGCGAAGCGTCTGTACGCAATATTATATCCATTATACCTGCGGGCATGATGGCAATGGGGAGTTTGTCAAGTGCGCTAGACATGTCGCAGCCGTTGAGGCCAAGTACAGTCCAGTGGCAAGGGAGGAAGAAAAGTCATCTAATCATGGGTGTGCGACCTGCAAATAAATTTCCCCGCCATGCGTCTTCTTCTTGGGGACGGATACTACCGTCGGAGCGTGTGGTTGTCTAGAGAGACTATAGACGCCATCGTCAGATACCAAATGTTGGCAAAATAAAACGCAGGCAAATCAGGACTTTTAACCAAGTGGCAAGACAAATAGTACGGTAGAGTATTCGAGAGAATGAGTTTTATAGACTAAACACCGCCGTGGACTGCAGCCAGCCACTCTCTACTCGTTTGGCAGCAAACGTCCGTGGCCAACCCGAGTAGACCCGTCTCTATTCGTTGCGTGTGTAGGGAGTAAATTTTATGCTAGGGTTAGGACGAGGCTCCGAAAAGGCTCACGTAAAATTAGCCGGCTGCATCCAATCACTCAAATCATGCTAGCCTTGTTTCTCGCGTTTATAAACAACCAGACGCCAACTTCTTGAAGAAACTAGTTAGCCATGGCAAACGTATTTGCCTTGAGCCGGCGCATTCTTCTCCCACCTTGAGAAAAGTTGGAAATTTTACCAATATAGTAAACTCTTGGTAAAGCTTGAATTGCTAGACTATTCTTTTTTTTTTAAATCTAACTGCTAGATTCCGCAAGGCTAGCCTCAACAAGGTCCTTGGAAATCCCAAGAACAAGTCCAATAAGAAGAGGCGCATCAGGATGTTCTTCGAGAGGAATCGTCAACGGATGTATAAGAACCTTGCGATCCGAGTCGGGAAGATACTCTCCCTTGAATTTATCAGCCCTCTTGATCTTTGCTTCTTCATAGGCTTTTCCTATCTGCATAGCGAGAAGAACTTGAAGCCCTTGGCGACTTTGACTGTCTTGAACGGGAAATATAGTAGGAAGCTCATGTTGCTTAATTTTACCTTGAATCAGGTGCAAGACGCCAAAGGCATGTTGAATAGTGACTCGGTTAATATCCTCCTCCGATGCTGTATTCGCTAGCTGCTTCATGTATTCTCGCGGAGACAATACCAAGGGGTCAATGTTTGTTAACCCCTTGGACTGCCCTAGGATAAAGGCAACCTCAATAAGGTCTGGCATTGGTAGGGGTGTCTCCCGCAGATGTTTTCCAATGCCATCCATCAGCTTGACGAGAAACTGTTGCCTCGATCTTCCTGGTAATCTTCCACCTGGTGAAGGATTTTCTTGGAAACTTCTATACCTGTCAACTGTCTCTCTAGAAGTAACCTTTTTGATAAAATTGTCATTAAACTGCTCAGCAGTCGTCTTCAGCAAGGCGGTCGAGTTGCTCCGAAGGACGGCCGGGAGACCAAGTAAAAACCTCTGCTGCCTGCCCGTGATTTCAACCGATATCGCCTCTCGAATCTTTTCAGCAGCCTCTTGGGAGTTGCCTTGGAGTAGTTCTTGATCCGAATTCGAGTCCGGCACCCGACTACTCGCATTGAGGGCCCCTATTGATTGAGCACCCTCTGATATAACCATCATGGCCTCAATAGCAAGGGCATTTTCTAGCTTATTAGCGAAGCTCCCACTTGGGTACAGGTAGGCGTGCGAGTAGATGTAGGTATACAAGCTATTCTTCGTGAAACCTTGCCACTGCGTATCACGAAGGCTTTGCATCTCCTCCTTGGTTGGCGGTTTCGGAGGAGGCGTAAAGGTCTGTACTAGAAGTCTAGCCAAGTGAACCACAACACCAATAGGGGCGAGGCCACCCAGAATCAAGGCATCTCCGAGGAAGCACATGGTCGAGTCAACTCCAGCAGAGGCGGAAATCTCGCCTTTGTTTTCTTCGGCTGCCAACCCGGTGATACAGCCTGCAAGAGGGATGATAGATGTTACGGCGGCTGCCCGGTCCAAGGCACTTGCGTCACGGACAAAGGCTGCAACTACTCCGCCAACCCACGCGGCAGCTCCAATGGCTCCGATGGCCAGAGATCCTGCTGTACCACCAGATCCAGCACGTAGCTTTGGCGACTTGGGGCCGAGAGGCTTGTAGTTGAGCAATCGTTTTCGCGCGTCTGGAATGGACATTAACCACCTCTCAACGACTCGAGTTAGCTTGAATTTTTTGACGAGCTTGGCAAACTCGTCTTGTGACACTTTCTCGGCAATGTCAGCCACCTCGCCTATACTGGTCTCCTTAAGCGTACTTGGCGTCTCAACTACAGGGTCAAGTGCTTCCCCGAGGGCGCAGAGGTTATTCACTGCTCCCAGGCGACATTGAAGCCCCTGTGAATTTCCTCTGGCTTGCAGTTTCTTCCCCCCTATGATTAAGCAGGAGACAATGCTATGACATGTTTTGGAGGCCAAGTGTCTCGCGCCTGGGCAAGCCCTAGCTAAACACGAATTGCCTTGTGCGATATAGGGGCTCGTATTTATATGCTCGTATTTTGGATTGGCGATCCACTCCCGTATTACATGCCGTCCACCATGTAAATTGCCAAATGGGTAGGCGCCGACAATTGTTTCTGGTTTGACGCTGCCGTTGATTGCTGGTACAAACGTCTCGGTACTACCGGTATGCGTTTTGGCACCGTAGGACGCAGTGTGATTACTGCCTTCGAGTGAAAGAACGTATATGTAACGAGGCTGCTCATTTACGCTTCCATTATTACTAGTAGCATGATGGATAGCGGTAGTATCACGTCGTGTACGCGATACTAACCCTGTCTCAAAGTCGTCTAGGAGATGACGGCCGCGGTTAGGTTTGAGGCCGTCGTTGAATGTAATATCAGGGGACTGAGAATCGATGTAGAATAGGAACTGTTTTGTGCCGTGATCTGACATGGAGATGGAGAGTGGCGTAATCTGATCAAGTTTGGAATGACCAGCGGCACATGCGCCGACGACTACTGCTGAAGCAAAGAAGCGCATCTAGTTTATGGAAATTAGAAACAACCTTGGCAAGTTAGGAAGAAGTCGGAAAAATAATTATAGCGAACCGTTTAGTATTTGCGATTTGCTTCTTGTCATGTATTGCAAGAGGTGAAATATTTATTATTGCTTAAAAATGCAGATAATTAGAGGCAATTAATGCATAAATATAGCAAAGGCTCGAACGCGGTTACTGAAAAGAATCTATAGCCAGCTACGGAGTACTCGATAGAGCATGGTTGAGTATAAGCCCATAGAGACGTTGCGGCATTAAGGGATAGATTGCACTACATGCTAATGGAAAATGCATAGTATTATATAGTGTTAGTAAAAAAAAATCACGCCATGAGCGCTATTATATGCTTTAACTTTAATGCAAAGAAATCCATAGTTAAATAACTCTATATCATGCATTTCTCTGGATATTTATGCATAGACGCTTAGGTCCCTGCTGTCCCCGCCTTGGACTACTCCGTCAATACTCTTCGCTCTCTTATAGCCCAATAATAGTCTTATTAATCAATGGCGGTGCAAGTAAAAGTGTCAAGTCGAAAGTGAGAGTGAGCGCTGCCCCGGCTAAGAGTTATAGCACTGGATAAGTAAATGCTAGTCCTGGTATTAATATCCTACAAAGCTATATTTATTTGCTTTTTATATAGTATAGCACCAAGAAAGTATACATAAAGGCTAAGCTCTAAATTCTTTATTTTATCGAGAAATAATACAAGGAGACAAATTTATATAAAGTACTGCCTTTAAATTTGTAGCACCCGTTGGCAACTAAGTGGCTAGCCACTTAGTCGCTGACGGGTAGTTATATACACGTCAAAATATAGTCTCTCGCTTGTTTATATGTATTCTCAAAACGAATAAAGCAATTATAAACAGTCGTTATATCGTTACTATATTGCTCTGTAATTTGCAGGGCCTCTGGCTTCTCAGCCTCTGGAACATTAAAATAATGATCTGTTAGCTCCTGTAATCTATTATTTGCCTCGAGTACACCAGATCTAAGGTTTTCAATAGACGTTCGTAACTGCGCCAAGTCACCAATAGTTATTTGCGAAACTGGATTATTTAGTACTGGAGTCAGGGCAGAATGCGCCGTAGTTGCAGATGCTTCTATTTTCTCCACATGGTCAGCAACTTCAGTTGCCTTGGCCAGGAAAGGCCCAAAGGTTATAACTCCTCCCGTGACTGCCACTCCACCAACAGCTATACCAGCGCCGGCGATTTCCTTGGCGTGCTCGCTACTCTCTTCCTTTAGCTTGCTTGCGGCTTCCGTTGTAGCTTCCATGACCACATCTCGTTTAGCTTTATACACCTTTTGTGCAGAGTTTGCCGCGTCCCGAAGTTGCTGAAGCTTTATTTGGTATGCCTCTGTATATTCATCCTGGCCCCCCTGTTGAGTGTTGAATACGTAGGGCAGCTTTTTGTCAAGTAGCTGGTCTCTTGTGAAATTGTGCTGCCGAGCTGTATTGCGAGCATCTCGGAGATAAATTGTATGGGCGTCATGTGCTTCGTGACACTTATCCAAGCTAAACACTTCGGATAGCGTTGGGCTCTCGTGCTCGACTCTTGGCACATAGTCTGTATAGCATTTGACGCCATGCGAAGCCTGTTCGAGAACCTGCGCCACCTGCGTCTCGTATTGTTGGAAAAGGGCGTCTTGTTGTTCTGAATTGGGGTTATTAGACTGCCCATAAATCCCAATAAGCAGAATGCTAATAGCCACAAAGGCAAACATTATGTCAAGACTTGGGTTAGGATAAAAGTAGAAGTTGTTTGTATAAGATGATGCTTCTTTGTATAGAGCTAGACAGGTTACAACACATGATATAAATCTTGTCAAGACAAGAGTATATATAGTCTTTATTCTTTACATGTACTTGATAGCGATACTAATAAAACTAGCCTATTACATAAAAACAAGTATATACAAATAGTAGCTGTATCTAGCATTATGCCAAGTAGTAAGGCAATAAGTATTCATTTACATGCCTCAATAGCTATTAGGCGTATCGTGTAAGAGATTTCTCTTATCATCCCATTATATTATGCCGAGTACTCCGCAGCATAAACTATAAGCAGTCTTGTTTGCATAGTATTAGCTCAATATTACGCATAAGTATTGATGTTAAGAAGCCGAGTCCAGCGTGGGTCGAATGCTTGCATTTCCCCCACTGCAAGTATTGCCAAGCAGTCTTTAAAGTTCAATGTTAATTTAAAGCCGCCGGCTGCTGTGCACAGTCAACTAGTCCTTCTGCGCACTGCGGTCTATAGTTTATGCTTATGCATACAGCGTTAATATATAGTCTGGTGTGATGAACCAGACATGTATACTTTCTGTTCGGCCCTTATTGCTGGTCAGGCCACTACGTACCCGTGTGGTTAAATTGAAGGATGGTAAAGAGGCCTTGCCGCCGGCCCCCATCACCACCTTGCGCCAATGCACACACACCAGACGTCGACTATTTGGGAGATGATCTCGGTGGCTAGGGACCCTGTGGTGGCAAACAACGGAGCTCGCCGTGGCACAAGCTATAGCAGCGACGGATCTTCAAGAAGCTGCTTTGCAGTTCTGCCCTCCTCTGGCAGCCACTTGGGCATAGACGTGATGAACGGAACGAAAAGCTCCTTCTCCTGCCCTGCGACTCGCTTCTCAAGGGTATCCAGGGACACGGGGGGCACGGCAGCGTCATCATTCGCAATCCAACTTCCTATCCGACAGCAACCCTTGTACTACTAGCGAGGCGTCTCCCCAGTTGCGAGTAGTGCGAACATGTCTGGTAAGTGCATGGGCCGAGTGGACCTGTAACGTCAACTGGTCCGGGGCATTTGACGGGGAAGCTGGGGTGAGAGGGTAAATTGTCAAGTACTTGACCAGTACGAGGTAGCATCAAGTTAGTTACTCCGTCACCGCACATGAAGTAGGTCCCTGGCTACGCCGCTTTTGCAAAGAGTGATGTGGAAGCGTATCCATCCATGTAAACTAGTCCATCCAGGTGCACTCGATATAGGGTAACTGGCTGGTCACGACCCGAAAGTTCCGATGCCATGCATGCCATTTGCATCTCATTCACGGTTGGCCTTGGGACCAGCAGCTAGGTAACGTATACCCCAGTCTGTAATGACCGAATTGCACAGTACACGATGATTCATGGCGCAAAATCCATTCTCGTCCATGAATGCTGCCAGTCATAGCAAGCATCTATATCACTCACCCCGAACCAGTCCTGGCGCAGCTCACTTCCCTGTTTAAACTGCGCCGGGACGCCCGTCATAAACACATTGGTGCTCAACTCGACCACGGGCCGAGCGGACGACGCTGCCAAGTCGTACATGTGCCCGGTATCGGTAGACATCCCGGAACACGTAGAAGGCGCCTCGATGCTTTGCGGGTTATCCGGCATTGGCTTCCTGATGCGCAGCTTGCCAAAATACGGCACCAACAGCTCGACATCCTCGGGGGGCCGTTGCATGTCGACAAGCAGCTCCAGGACCCTCGCGCCCTGTTCGGCGACTCTGCATTCGAGCAGCGTCGCCATCTGTCGCAGGCTCGCAATCAGGGACTCGATCAAAATCCCATCCTCGCTAAAGACGTGCAACGTGCCGCCCGGGTTGTCGGGCATATACAATGCGCCAATGATCAACACCATGCCCGCGTGGAACGCCTGAAAGTCCATGAGCTCGCATATCAGTATCTCTGCGCCCGGGAAGTTGCGCAGGCGCACGTAACAGCGGATTTGCTCTCGGGCGGCCTCCAAAACAGACTGTCGGCTGTGTTCGTACCTCGCGTCGTAGACCGACTTGAGCATGTAGGGCAAGTGGACGAGCTTCACCAGCAAAAAGTATAGAAATTTCGCGCTCTCCCGCTGGTATGCATCCGAGATGGAATCGCTGGCGTCGCAGGGGCTCCACCACTCGACGGGGAAAAGCGATCGCAACGCGCGCACATTTTCGTCAATGTTGACAGTGGTTGCGTAGGACGGGTTGGCGCCGTGTTGGTCTCTGTTGATCACATCACCGTATACTAGTGCCAGGGCGTAGAGGATGCGATATACCACGGGCGCTTCGAGGCCCATGGGTAGGGATCCGAACGGAGTCTCGGTGCTTGTCTGAACGGCGGACGGGTATCCCAGGATCAGTGACAACTGTCGCTCCGTCTCCCACGATAGCAACCAAATAATTCGGTGCGATTCCTTGGCGGCAGCATCAAGCCTGTTGAGCCCCAGCAATGTCGCGGTGCTAATGGCGCTTCGGGTGCAGGCCCATGCCTTCTGCGGCATGCCCATGTTGATGTACAGTTTGAACCCTAGAATGTGGCATTGCACGGCATCCAGATTGTCCTGGGGCACGCTCGCGAGCATGATCCGACAGTAGGCCAGATAGGACGCCAGCATGTCTTGTTTCGAGCATCGTTGGGGAAACAGGTGACGAAACGAATCCGCGGCCAGTTGCTGGAGGCAGAGTACAAACCACAACAAGGATTTGCAAAATGCAGTGTCCAGAGGTGGATGGGACAATACCCTCACAAGATATTCCTCCCCCTCAGCGTCACGATTCACCTGAAAGGTCTGGTGAGGCTCCGAGCCGTAGTAGCAGGCCGGCCATGTGCACCAGTATTTTCGAGTCATGGCCAGCACAGACCGAATGGTTGCCTCATCCGGTATATTCGGTTGGAGGCTTGTCAAGAGACTTGGGCGGCGGGTTCCAAGGGCAGCATTGGAGGCATCGTCGTCTTGTACGCGCCCATCGGCATCGCTGATCAACAGCGCATCCCGAAAGAGGTTGATCAATGGCGCATCTGACGGGTTGCTCGTCGTCGACAAATCTTGCGCTGGGGCATTTCCTCGCGCCGCAACCGTTGATTTCGCCTGCGCAAAGGGCTCGCTCGCTGCAGCTGTGGCGTGAACTGATCCGGCAAGGCTCTTGACGAGGCCCTCGAGTTGATTGACTCTCTGGCGCAAAGTCGCCCTGTCACACTCTGCTTCGTCCACCTGAGCCCGCGGCTGCTGAGCAGTGCATGCAGTGCTGTGCAGGACACAATTTTGACAAACGCTGTTTCCTGGAGAGAACACACACCTTACTTTGCGTCGACGACATTCGGCACACGACTTGGTGCCCAACCTCATGCGCTTTGCGGCTTGCTTCGCTTGCCGGTCTGACATGGGAGAGGTTGTCGACGATGAGACTTTAGAGTCGAGACGCACTCGGCCGAATTGTTAAGCATTGTTCTGAGAGGCGTAGAGTAAGCATCCGGTCTCGCACCAACTCGGACGAAATCTCCGCGGCACAGCCAATGGATGCCGAGCAATAACCGGGTCCTTCCATGTCGCCCCACTCGCTGCTCCAACACTGAATGCTGGTGAGTGAATGAGTGAGACAGCTCATCATGACTCCTCGCACCAACTCGACCGACTGAAGATGGCTACCCTGTTTGGGCATTACAAAGACAACCATGGTGCATGCCGGGCTTTGGAATCAAGATGAACAGTATCGCTGGGGAGGTAGCTGTCATGGGAGGACGAAATATATAAAGACCTCCTGTGTATCTGTGTAGCCATGTCTATCCGCTCAACTCAGAACAAGGCCGACCATCCAGATCAGCTCCTTTTTCATTCAAAATGTCTGCCACACTTGCATCCCAGCTCGCGCAAGTCACCCAAAAGCTCGAGGCCGAAGCGCCAAAGGAGGTCAAAGACACCCTCCTCAGCGCCAAAGCCGAGATTGAGCAGTCGTTTGACCCGAAGCGAGCCATACAGCCGGGCGCGAAGCTGCCACAGTTCAATCTCCCCGACGCTACAGGCAAAGTGCAATCCTCCTCGGATCTGCTGGCCAAGGGGCCTCTCCTCATCACCTTTTATCGCGGCGAGTGGTGTCCGTTTTGCAACCTCGCCCTGCGCGCCTTGCAGCTTCGCCTGCCCGAAATCGAGGCCAAGGGCGTCACCTTGGTCGCCATCTCGCCTGAACTGCCCGACACTTCGCTCAGCACCGTCGACAAGAATGAGCTCAAGTTTCCCGTCCTATCCGACGTTGGCTTGAAGTTTGCCCGGGAGCTGGGCATCGTCTGGAAGCAGCCCGAGGCGCTTCGTCCCGTTCTCGCCGGTTTTGGGACCGACTTGAAGGCGCGCAACGGCGATGATTCTTTCGAGGTTCCGATTCCGACCACCATCCTTGTCGACCAGCATGGCACGGTGCGAAACGTGCATGCCGAACCTGACTATTTCAAGAGGCTCGAGCCTCAGGATGCCTTGGATTGGATTGATGCGCTCTAGTGGTTATGTCGAGCGAGACCATTTTTGTAGCAGACTAGACACTTCAATGCATACAATGCTTTTTTATTTGAAACAAAAATAACAGCATGTCTCTAATTAGTGTAATGTACTTGGCACTTCTCATTGACATCACTCGAGCCTTATCCACTAGCATGAACAGCGTACTCTGAGTAATTGACCTGGGGGTCGCTCGACTCAACATGGAAACGCCGCCAGATCTGCATGAAACAACATTATGCACTCCATGTCCTCTTGGGATCAAACAGCCACCGGCCCCCAATGCCAAGTAATAGGACACTTGGCATTCTTTCAGTCACATGGGTTCCCTCTCGTAGCTCGGCACAGCATCACGATTCACCACACACGCCCAAAATGTCCGAAAGTTAAAAATAGCAATTTGATAAGCAGCATATCGGGGCTGTCCGACCCATGGGCTGCTATTGCTACATCATTTTTGCTCCATGGATCG